CAATCTATAATGTCAAGGAAGAGGTTGACTTGGATCTATCATATAATTGTAGGATATTCTTTTTGCTACAATGTTGATAAATGCATAGAAATCAAATAATAGATAATACTAATGAGTAAATATATATTTGGTCAATAATTTTTTAATAATTATATCATGCATAATATTTTAGTACCAAATTTAGTATCTAACCCCTATATAAGGGTTATGAAATTATAAATAAATCAAATGTATTATTTTTCAGGAAAAAAATCAATAATTTTAATAAAAAATAACCATGTGACATTATCTGGAAGTCACAAAATTTCAATCAATTTTATAATGGAGCTAATTGAATTTGTAATAGAATGATGAAAACAAAAAATGCACACTTCATTTCATTTCATAGGTGCATTCCATTGTTTTATTGGGCCAAAGCAGTTACTTGATTTGACTTTGATGATTAGAAGTGCCAAGTGATGATAAGAACAGCTCAACCATCATGGGAAAAACTTGAATGATTTTTTTCATTACTTGGGCCACCCTGTTTCTGAATGTTGATTCATCTTTCCATGTGTATCATACCAACTGTCACTCCATGCCTCCATGGATTAAATCCCAGAGTATTCAGGGATAATTTTACATGATAAATAACTAGAACTCATCATCTTGGAAGAACAAAAATATGCTGGATGTGAAAATAATAATTCCTAACTACAAAACGAGAGCCATGTTTTCTTCTAGGCATACGTCTAGCTCAGCTGCTGGAACTTGGTATCTCCCTCTCATTTAGGGACTTCGTTGGCTTTCTCATCATTTAGTTCTTTCTCACTGAAGAGAATAGAGATCCCCAAGTACTGGTAAACTTCTTTGCTTTTGGATTGAGATTACATTTGTGATGGCTTCACGTGTTGCTGTAGGTACGCCTGACTATCATTAGCCACCGTTTCTTCATCTAGTCCATGCATGGTATGTGATTCTAACAAGCCATCCTCCCATTGATGAGGTAGGAACAAGAAAGGGCGATCTGCCTCTTTAATTTGCCAGTCATGGAGGACCATCTTTGTTGCAGTCATCATATTTGGTTCACCACCCTAGAGATTGACCATTCATAGAAGCATATACTTCAGTAAGAATTTACAATTGAAAAGGCAACACAAATAGGGATCCACGTAAGGAAAGCTAGTTACAAAATGTTGTATAAATTCATTTAAAATACAAATATATGATAACAATGGAAAGCTAGTTACAAAACCACAGAGTTGCTTACCAGTCCTTCCTCTAGCATGCTTCTTCGAGGTGCTTGTTCTTTACACACTTCAGAACTTCTTCAATATGTTCAAAAGCATCCTCCAAGTTTGTGACACATAACTGGAAGAGGGCCAAAATAATCTACATTCAAATACCTAGTAGATTTCTGAGATAAATAACCTAGTACATTGATAGACTAGTAGAATATACAGTTGTTACTAACTGTCATTCACCTTGTCTGTCCTTTGAACAAGTCAAAGTTAAGTCTTGGTCTAGGCGGATAATATTTCTCTCACATGTCCATGTCTAGAAAACCAAACTAAAGATAGAAATGTTGAATTTGTAAAATGAATGCTTTAACATTTGTCCACACAGGTTATCACAGCATTTGTAATTCTTTGAATAGTTCTAAGAGTCTAAAGTAGTGGATGTGCAAGCATTAACTTATATGATGTTCTAATATATATTCTCACATGAAATATTAACTCTTGCAGGCATTTTAGTATTTGTTGTACACATTGAAACTGATAATGCTAAATATTATGTAGTATGATACACAAAAGATCCTTAATTTTTCAGCTCTCTTAAGGCTATGGCAATAAAAAGCTTTCTTTAGGTTTGTTTATCTATAAATTATCACTGGAAATTCCACAGGATTTCTTTTCTCTGGGGAATTAGGTACTCAGTTCTTGCTGTAGTTGCTCTGAGAAATAACAATAAATTAAACATACCATTGCCTCACTATTGTGAAGGGCAGAAGAAAGTGCAGGCAATTAGCTGATCGAACATGGCATACCCTTTAGTTCAATATTTGTTTCAGAATCACTGTTTTGGTAAACAACTCCAGGGCAGTCAATCAAGATCCTTTTTGTGAGTGTTATGTACTGCCACAACTTAGTCTACCCAGGAATCGAGCAACTTTGCAAACCTTTTAGAAAAGCAAACAATTATATTAGCTGAACCACTGAACTCATAAACGAAGTAGATAGATAGGTGCCTAAAATATAACAGTAGTTAAAAAATCAAACAGTTGCAAGATATTCATTTGGCTACAATGTTGACAAACAGATATGGTGCTATACTTAAAAGCATCCAGAGAAATTAGATTTTAGATGAGAGTTAATAAACATGTTAGATAGAGTTTGGAACATGGTGATGGGCACATTTATCCCTTCAACATTCAAGGGCATAGAAACACAAATTTTCATGAATAATGCAACAGAAGAAGCCATAAAGAGGCAGCACATTTTTAGGACGTGTGTTAATAACGGAAGACTTTCCATCATTAGGATACCCAACAAATCCCACAGATATTGCTTGCTCGTCACTTGTTAAGAACACCAATTGTGTCAAAGCTGACAACAGAGAACCCTGTGTGCAACAAGAAAAGAAAAGACAAATGATAATGCTGAGTCAATACAAGTTAGTAGCTAAAAATGCAGAAAATATACAAAGTACTTTGCATAGAATACTTTTCTAGGTAGATTAAGGTTTTCCTTCAACATTTGCCTTAAACTGAAAGAAGGGGAGCTTCTCCAGCATTTGTGTGCGTGTGCGTGTACGGGTGCGGGTGCGTGTGCGTGTGTGAGAGAGAGAGAGTGAGTGAAATGTATTACTTACCTTGCAAAAAGACCTATTGATGCAAGCATGAAATGCTTTCATAATATTCTAAGCCATCCCTTTGTAGCCCAGGCGTAAACCATCTCACAGTGAAAAGGGAGAACTACAAGTGTTCACAAGCAGTCGCAGCCTTATAAATACAACTAGAAAATGAGACTGAACTTGTTTAACAGAAGAATCATGTGTTTATGCTTGCAGTTTTCTTTCAAATGCTTTTCTAGATGAAGGCATCTTGTACCTTGTAGGTCCCTAACATGTAGCATCCAAAACCTGTAAAAAGAAATATAAATAAAGAATGGATTGACACAAGAATTCTTTTCAATCCTCTTCACATTTGAAGGAGAGCAACAGCTATGCATTAATCATAGTAAAATAAAGAAACCAAAACTGATAAGGATTTACGAAATAGAAAAATGTTTGACACTTCTTGCAGATAAATAGCAGAAATGACATATCATCCTATTTTTCCCTGATGGTAGCGCTAAATTTGCAACTGGTGTATTAAAGGACGAGGGCAAAAGGAAAAATATTGAATGCAACTTCTGTTGAGTCCTTAGGCAATAAAAGAAAATGGACTGACTTGGAGAACAACATCTGAGGAGTCAATATGCTAAATAAGTTTTCTCTTATCCTTCTCAAACATGGTGTGCCAAACTGGATCCTTGAATCCATGTTCTCCACTTCCTCCACTGAAAGTAGAGGCACCATACTTATACTCGAAGGCACCTGCAGGGGCTAACACCAAAAGTATAGCACAGAATTTATATATGTTTTAAGTTTCAGAAAGTAAGGGTAGAATTAAGAAATTTATTCACATTAAGGATTGTCAACTTTACGAAGTACATACTTGCAATCTGCTGCCTAGAGCTAGCATTTCCTTCTCCACTTCAGTCCAAATGCATCCTCAAAATGCATGGTGTCAAGAAGATAAACTCTGGCTTGCTTGACAGATGTACCAGATAAAAATTAGTTAGATAAAATTCAGATTAAAGAAGACAATAGGAAAATGGAATGCTAGTTAGAATATATATACCTTAGCTACTTTTGGAAGGGTAAGAACTAAAAATGACACTGTAACACTATGGCACCATTTTGCCATTTGTTTATGATTATTACATCATCAACTCTGTATAGATCCAAAATCTAAATAGGGATTATTGATTTTGTTCATTAAAGGCGATTTCAAAGCAAGCAGGTCTTACCATGTGCCTGGTATATGTTGTGTCTTCACCAATATAAAAATGCTTCTTTAGAAAGGAACAAGCTCATAAGAACAATCTTTCCCACATCATTTGCAAGTCATAGGAAATTCTGCTCTGCTCTAAAAAGTGATTGAAGATCAGAATACATATTCAAACAAAGCTATTGTGATAGGAATTTTGCTC